CTCTGTGAGTGGTTATTTCATCCTCTTAGGTGGTACTCCTATCTCATGGAAATCTAAGAAACAAGCCACTGTTTCCCTCAGTTCAGCTGAAGCTGAATATCGTTCCATTCGCAGAGTCACTGCTGAATTAGCTTGGCTTTCTCGTCTCTTCTCTGATTTGGGTGTTCCAGACATTACTCCTATTCCAGTTCGTTGTGATAGCAAGGAAGCCATTTATATTGCTACTAATCCTGTGTATCATGAACGTACTAAACACATCGAGTTGGATTGTCATTTTGTACGAGAAAATTTATAGGATGGCCTCATTACACTTCATCATGTTCCCAGCTCTGCCCAAATTGCTGATCTCTTCACTAAGAGTCTTCCCAGTGCTGTGCATAATCATCTTGTTTCCAAGTTGGGGGTTCAAGCTCCCTCCAACTTGAGGGGGGGTGTTGGGAAAGCTTAGCTCAGTTTTACTTCTTGTTAAATTCAGTTTTTCAATTTGTTAAGTTTGTTATTTCTGTTAGTGACGTGGCTTTCTTTCCTCTCTTGTATAAATACTGTGTGTGGACTTAATTCCAAGACAAGTTTTCTTCTCTGCAAATTCAATCATCAATAAAGACTGTTTTTCTTATTTTCCTTCGTTCTTCATTCTTCATCGCCACTTCTGTATCAAATTGTTCAAGGAATTCATCATATCTAAGAATTCCAACAATATTTTAACACCAATATCCTTTTAGACTAAAATAACTTTCAAATCATATGTAAGTAGTTCCGCTACCCCTTATTGTTTTAGAAATGGGCATTGATATTCTCTCTTTTCTTTATTGTATTTCTTTTTTCTTCATAAATATTTTTTAAGCACCTTCTTAAAACTATTTTTTATTATGTTTTTAAATGAATCTTTTTATTTTGAAAAAAAAATTAATGAAATAAAAGAATTTACATATACTTCTGTTGGGTTAAGGAACCCGGGGGCCTAGGGGACTAGGCGGAAGAGTATCGAACTAAGTCGAAGATTGCACAAATATGGGGTCAAGTAGACTGAGAGTATTATTGTGCGAGGTTACAACATAGGGTTCCGACCGTTGGTCCAGAGTCCAACGGCCTGGGCCCACTAAGATTGGGTTGCTCACTGGCGGCGTCCAACCACATCATTAACCCTAGGATAGTTATACAAAATAGGTTACAAATAGGGTGGCTATAGCAACTCTGCTAGAGGCATGGCAGGGGTCTAATCGAGGGCCCCTTGATCTTGACTTCAGTCAGCTTCCTTTATCCAGGTCTAGTCTGCTGTCGCCCAGCCGAGGCCGAGCGTACAACCTGTCTTCGGAAGTTCCTAGGCGGGAGGCCGGCCGGGGTTAGTCCGAGGGTGACTGGCCCGGCAGAGGCCGAGCGCGTACTACTGCCGGGGTAGCCTTCCTTGGTCCTTCGTTTATTCTTGCCTTGGTCCGGCTAAGTGGGCCTCAACAAAGTTGGGCTGGACCGCTTTCCTGTTGAGCCAGATACCCCCATTCCCGGGTATCCATCAACTTCATTCATCTCAAATTAAATATTTTCTTTTTTTATCCAAAAAAATATCTTTATTGGCTCATTTTTATGATACAAAAATCAATAAAACATTTTCTCAGTTTTGCACTAAAGCTCATTTTCCATTTTTCGTTCATTTTCTGGTTTTTTTTTGTTTTTTTCTACTTTTTGATATTTTTAAAAATTGATTTTATGTTATTTATTTTATTTTAATCAAAATTAAATAAAAAAAAGAATTGGAAAAGAAAATGAAGAAAAAAAAAGTATATATGAAAAAAATTCTTTAATAGAAAATAAAAAAATTAAGTCAGTAATAGGTTATGAACTAAACTGATGTAATGAACAACACTTAATCAAAATGCACAAAAAGTAAAATAAAAGTAGCCGTAGTTAGAGATTTCATGCTAACAAATCATCCCGATTTCCACTTCTATGAAAATCAAATAACAATATCCTTTACAAAACACACTTCTGTGGCACTTTTTTTTTTGGCATCTCCATTTTGTCCTGCTAGTAATTCAGATCCTCAATTATAAACCACACCTGCCATGGAATATTTTTGTACAAATTTACAACTAGCATATTCGCAGTTAAAAATACTCTTAGTTAACATCACTATAAAACAGGGGAGGAGCTCAACAAAAGACTAGTTAAAAGGAGTTGACGAACAGACCAGCTCGTCACTGTTTATATATACGGAGTATATTAATTGATCTGGAGATGGTTTAATTGGGCAAATCAAGATTTGAAGTGGTGGTTGAATTGGTGGAGCACCTGAGACATGGTCGGGTTTTGCGGCGGTGCCCTCCACCCAGGACCGGCCACCGCAGCCGCCCTGTACCCTTGCCCTAGCGGGTGGTGCCGCTTTCGCACCGCCCTGACCGGCGGCTCCATAGTCACCTCCAGTATCCCTCCGCTCTTCCTCGGAGGTCGCGCTGAAGAATGTTCCGGCATCCTCCTAGGAATCTCCGCGGAAAACCTCCCTTCTTGCATCCCATTCACCTGCAAAAATTCCCCCCATTAACTACTATATAAAATTTTGTTTCAAAGTGTTCGATTTTGTAAATTAATTTTCTGATTCAACCTAGCATTATTTTTGGCGCACAATATATCTAAACACTCATCTCAGAGGTTAATTATCGATAATTATTTTGAAGATGGACCCCACCAGAATTATGTTCTCATTACAAGCCAAAAATTCCAACAGTTTGATAATCAAGAAAATACAGAAAGAAATATTGAAAACAGAACAAAACCTTTAAGAAAGAAGAGTATGGGATTGGGCAGAGGATGGGGCGGTCTTCTTCAAGAGGCTCAGTTGGGTGTTGCACGGGGAAGAAGGCGGCGGCGGACACGGTGGTTGAAGAGTCACACATGCTCCCGTGGTCTCCTCCATTGATCTCTAATTCAAGAGCCATTGAATTTCTGTATCCTCTCTCTGCTTTCCCTCAATGCAAACCAAATATTGCTTTCACTCCCCATCCTAGTCCTAGTGCATACATATATTGTCGTGGGACAGGGGCTGGGCCGCTTTCACAGCACTATCATCATTAACTGAATATATATACTCGGTTGTATATATACTTCGTGTATACTCCCTTTGTACACCCAATTCTATACAAAGTTTGGGCTCTATCCCGGAGTTTAGATAAAAAAAGATACACAAACTAAAGTAATACTGCTTCTTTCATTTCTTTTCAAGGAAGAAAGAACAAATTAATAGTAAACATATACTCCCTCCGTCCCCCTAAGATGTTCTCATTTTGACTTTTGGTGATTTTTAAAGAGAGTTGAAAAAAGGTGAAAGTTTACCATAATATCCTTAATAAAAAATGGGTGGAGTGTCAATAAATATCATAGTATCCATAATATCCATAATATCCATAATATCCGGAGAAAAAAAGGATGAATGCTACTAGTTGGAAGTATTTCTTACTTCTACGATGCAGTCTCAATTATAAAGCATTTGGAAGCCAATTAAAAAATAAAATCATAGTCATTGTGACTGGTGGCAACTCAGCTCTGATCTGATGGATATAGGCAGTGTGATAGATTTGCAGGGGGAGAGATAGAGGAGGCGCTCTGTGACGGACCTACAAGGTATGCTTCATAACAGATCTGCAGAGGGGGAAGCTGGTGCGGCAGCACTGCAAGGAGTGGGGCGACGGTGATGTACTGCACGTTGGGTGGATTTGACGGAGGCAACGCTTCAAAATTGTGATGGTGGTGGCCAAAATGATAGAGAGGGTAGAGAGAGGCAGGATGTGGTGACCGTGAGGAGAGGGAGCAGAGAGATATGAGATTAATTACTGCAACTATTTTTTAAATATTTGACTTTAATTATTAGTATAAATATTTGCACAAATTAATTTTAAAATAAATTTTAAATATTTAAATTTAGAAAATATTATTAATAAATATAAGATGTCTTTATCAAAATGTAATGCATTTTGATACTATGATTTAATAATAGATCTCCTTTCAAAAACATTTTAAAATATCTTTTAAAGAATTAACTTAGACAAACGCTATCATTTTTTTAACATTTAACTTCAACAAACACTATAAATCAAATTAATACTTTTATCTAATTGTCACTATAAGATTTCATTGGTTTAAACCAAACAAAAATACTACATAAAAGAGAATACCAACCACAAAATAATAAAAAAAACTTAAAAACAACAATACCACATAGAAGAAAATACCAATCCAATACAAAAAAACATAAACATAACCGTACTAGAAAAAATAGGCGGTAGAAAATAAGAGATAAAATATTTTTGTATATTGAATTAACTCTCGAATACAAAGATCTAACCCTCTTTATATAGGAAGAGGGTAAAACAAATAAGGAAATTTCTATTCCTACTAAAATAAGAATTAAACAAACTAGGAAAGATAATAAACCTAATCCCAAAGGGATTCAATTTCCTTCTTCAATCTTGCTTCCTTCTTTTGTCTCTAACACCCCTCCAAGCTGGAGCATGGGAGTTCAACATGCCCAGCTTGGACAATAAAAAGTCATCCCATCCCACAACTTCTTCATCTTCCCATAATATTCCATTATGGTGAGATTCTTCTGTTTGCATTGTGCCAAATCCCGCTTCAACTACTAAACCCTTGGTCCATTAACCACAAAGAAGCGGGCCTTCAAATCATTCCATAGATCTGAAGCTTTCTCCACAAACGATATGTTGGATCTCAAGGTTGGATCAATTGTGTTCCGAATCCAAGAGACCAACAGCGAATGGTTTGTCCACCAATCATCATAATTATCTGAATCAGGATCAGGCATCTCAATTGTTCCATCAACAAATTCAAACTTCTTGCGTGCTCGAAGAGCCAAACGTAGAGATATTGGACCATTCATCATAATTATCCCCCTTCAAAACGACATGGGGCAAAATCATACCCAGATTGTCGCTCGGGGACTAATCATATGGAGAGATGTGACGATGACGCGTCCTCACGTCATCTTTTCCATGATGCTCAACCTTTTTATTGGAAATAATCTTCATGGATGCTTCTGTAGAAGAAATATTTTCCTTGAATAATTGTGTATAGATTACATCAATATATACTAGAGGCCTCAACCCTAATCATAGTAGGAGAGCCATGTTAGGAAGTCTATACAAGTATGGTAACATAATAATTACAAAGATAATAAATATAATTAATATATTTAGCATGCTCCCGGCTACGTCAGATGTGGAGGAAGTCGGATTCCCAGACTAGATTTGAACTCGAGGAAGAGCAGAGATGGCAGTCCTTTGGTGAAGATGTCAGCATACTAGGAAGAGGAGGGCACATGAAGGACGCGAACCTGACCGAGTGCAACTTTGTCGCGGACAAAATGTATGTCGACCTCCACGTGTTTGGTCCGCTGGTGCCGCACTGGATTGGATGATAGGTAGACGGTGCTGATGTTGTCGCAGAAGACGAGGGTGGCACGTCGTAGTGGCTGCTGAAGCTCAAGGAGAAGATTTCGGATCCATGAAGTTTCTGCAATGGCATTGGCCACAACCGGGTATTCAACCTTTGCACTAGATCGAGAAGTGGTGGCCTGGCGTTTGGACAACCAGGAGACCATATTGTCGCCCAATCCGCATCAGAATAAGCCTGCAAAAAATCTGTACTGGATCGTGTCAAGTGAATGCCATAGGTGGCCGAACCACGAAGGTAGCAAAGAATGCGCTTCATGGTCGTGAGATGTACGTATCGAGGTGCATGAAGATAAAGGCACAACTGCTGGACGGCGTATGTGATTTCCGGTCGAGAGAAGCTGAGATACTGCAGGGCTCCAACAACAGATCTATACAGCGTCGGATCTGGGAGTGTCGTACCAGCTGATGAGGATAGTTTCGTCTAGGTGTCCACTGGCGTAGAGATGGGGCGACAAGAGACCATCCCAGCCCGCTCTAGGATGTCGTGGGTAAACTGAGTCTGATGGAGGAACATCCCACTGGGAGTGCGATGAACATGGATGCCGAGGAAGAAATGCAAGTCACCCATGTCTGTCATGGCAAACTCAGCCTTGAGTTTCTGAATGATGCTCTGAAGGAGTGCAAGTGAAGAGGCAGTGAGAACTATGTCGTCAACATATAGCAAGAGGTAGGTTGTCCCCGTGGTATGAGAAAAGACGAAGAGGGATGTGTCAGATTTGCACCCGTGGAACCCAATAGTCTGAATGAAACCTGCAAACCTGTGATACTATGAGCGAGGAGCTTGCTTTAGGCCGTAAAGAGCCTTTTTGAGCTTACAGACATGATGAGGGCGATTGGCATCCTAGAATCCAGAAGGCTGGCTGGCATACACGGTTTCCTAAAGCTGACCATAGAGGAATGCATTTTTGACATCGAGCTGATGAATGGGCCAACCCCGAGACAAGGCGAGGCTAAGGACGATGCGGACAGTGGCAGGCTTAATAACGGGGCTTAACGTTTCACCGTAGTCGACGCCAAAACGCTGATTAAAACCGCAAACAACCCATCGGGCTTTATACCTGGTTAACTCACCTGTAGGGCCAAGTTTGTGTCGGAAGAGCCATTTACCGGTGATGATGTTTTGTGTGGGGGAGGGGGGTTCTAATTCCCATGTGTCATTCTTGATCAAAGCATTATATTCATCACACATAGCAGCATGCCAGTTAGGATC